CCACAAAGTAGCCCTGCACAATCGTGGCTCAATACTCTACCCCCGCCTCTCCAATGAACCACCTCGCCTCCGCCGCGACCACTCCGGCCAACCACCGCACCCCAGCCCCATAACACCCCAACCCAGCCCTACACATTCGCCGCCAGGAATTTCACCATAGATCTGGAATCCTCGCTGCACCCACCAACATAGAGGTTGGAGATCTGGCACCGGCAGCTCCATATCGAAGTCGTTGTTCACAGAGGACAGAGGATCCAGTATCTGCGACACTCCATCGAGAATAATATATTCACCTTAATAATTACAATTGCATAACATAGATTATATACCATAGCTTATATCGAAGAGATAAGCATGGCCATAAATATTAGCTATACATTCGGTAACTACTGGCTAAGATCTAAGTTAGTGGATCGCCTAACAAGATACATGCATACACGCCTCTACGTACTAAGATAAATAAATGTGACAACAATAATAAATGTAACAATAATAAAATATTTGCTAATAAGCCCCCGCAAGATGGAGGTGTCGTCGTTAACTCCCATCTTGGAACGAAACTTTTAAAATGGCTCTCGACCGAGTGGTTTTGTCAAGATATCGGCAATTTGTAACTTTGTAGAGATATGTTGAACTTTGAGTTGTCCTTGGGCGACAAGATCACGAACAAAATAGAAATCCAATGCCAAATGTTTCATGCGTGAATGGAATACCGGGTTGACACAAACGTAGGTAGCATCAAGGTTATCACAGTAGAGTGTAGGAGTAGAAGGAGTGGAAACTCGTGGTTCTTTAAGAACATTACGTACCCATAATAGTTCAACACTTGCATGAGCAACGGCCCGATATTCCGCCTCAATAGAAGAACGAGAGACACACTTTTGTTTAGTGGACTTCCATGAAATAATATTCGGGCCAAGATATACGGCGTATGCAGTTGTAGAGCGGCCTTCATCTTGGATGTTTCCCCAATTAGTGTCACGCCCCAGACCGCAATCCAAGCGCGTGCACAACCGCCGTATAATCGAGTGACGTCACCCGCGAGTCAACCTCACTCAATTACACAAGGCGTTCGAGAAAATAATCCATCCATACTCAGTAGTAAACATACATAACAACATCACATTTAAACCAATGAATAGCGGAAATATTCAACGGTAAGTCATGAGCCACAACCGGCCAACAACATGGGCATGCAAGCCCCAAAAATAGTTTATGGTAAAACAAAAACCCATGAGCAAGTGTTCGGTAGTTTGAAAGAAAATAAGGAAGCACGAACCACGTCTTCCTGATTTGATATCACCCGTGAGAAGGTGCAAGTAGCAAGCCCTAGCTTCAACCTGAAAATGGTGGGGGGGCCCGAAGGGGTCAATACAAGTACCGAGCGAGTAGCAGGCTAAATATAGGATAACTAGCGTTTCAAGTATAAGACCCAAACAAAGGGTGATACTTAAATAAATAGTCTTTTCCCCAAGTTATGAAATACTTATTAGTATATATATACTTGGAAAATATCTGATCCGTAGATCACCGTTTTATTTGAGAAAAATAGTAATAGTCAATATTATTGGCTAAAAACCCCAACCCACCCATATACCTATGAGGGTATAGGACTCCTCCTTGTCCCTATTTCAATATCATAATCTATGAGTTTTAGGATCATAATCCTTGGGTACTCCACCGGTTTGTGAGTGTTAAGGACTCATAAGTCCTAGGGTCCTCCACCAAGTTTTGAGTGTTAAGTACTTTTAAGTACTAGGGTCCTCCACTAAGTTTGAGTGTTAAGGACTTTAAGTCCTAGGGTCCTCCACCAAGTTTTGAGTGTTAAGTACTTTTAAGTACTAGGGTCCTCCACCAAGTTTGAGTGTTAAGTACTTTTAAGTACTAGGGTCCTCTACCAAGTTTGAGTGTTAAGGACTTTAAGTCCTAAGGTCCTCCACCAAGTTTTGAGTGTTAAGTACTTTTAAGTACTAGGGTCCTCCACCAAGTTTTGAGTGTTAAGTACTTTTAAGTACTAGGGTCCTCCACCAAGTTTTGAGTGTTAAGTACTTTTAAGTACTAGGGTCCTCCACCAAGTTTTGAGTTTTAAGTACTTTTTAAGTACTAGGGTCCTCCACCAAGTTTTCCTATGATCAACCTCCTATCAACCTAGATAGAGTCTATATCATACTTAGTTACTCATAACTAATCCAATACATAAATCTTATGTATCACAATCCATGCAAAACCATGCATTTATATAGATTTATAATTAATTAATACCAACCGGTATTAATTAAATCATTTGTCCTTCGGTCCACGTTTTCGTTGACCGCCATTTCATGCCTTGTGTGTATCAACTTAATCATCATATAATTAAGTTAATAATATTCATTTGTGCTTCTAATACACTTCAAACAAATATGCATTTCATATAATTCTTCATATCATATTCCATGCATCAACAATTAATTTCTTTCATACAAACTTAACCCTATTGGCTAATCACATGTTTAAATATCTTTTAAACATCATTATGAACTCATATAACATTTATTTAGGTAATCTCATAATTAACCCAAAAGTTATAAGATATTAAGCCGTCCACTCACCTTGAACTAGCGTTATGAAGTTCTACCCTTCTTGGTTGAACTCCGGTGAAACTCCGGCGACTTTTGGTCAACTCCGGCGACAACTACGGCGACTTTTCCAACTTTGTGAAATCACTTGAAATACCCTTTACAAGTGCCTAACAAGGTTTTATAATCATAAAACCCATGTTAATACAAATAACCTCAGAAAGGTTATTTTCCGGTGAACCGGTCGTTTTGGCTTCTACGTCCATTCTTGGACGTAGAATCACTTTCCAACCCATTAATCCATGCTTATAACATGTAGAACCCTCTCAAGGATCCTTCACATGATATATATCTCATATGGTAGGAGAAAAGTAAAGGAAAAGTTATAATAAGGTCATTACCTTAATTCTACACACTTTTCCTAGCCTTTTTCCTTCTTTAATCCCACTCCTTGGACTACTTTTGGTTGAGCTCGAGTTGCAGCAATGGAGAATAGCTTGAGAGCTTCCTCTTCATCCTCCTTTGATGGTTTGGCCGAAAATATGGGGTGGGTGAGTGAGGAGATAGCCTCTTTGGCTTTTCTCTCAAAATAATGTGGGAATGGGTCCTCCCCATTGTACATTTGATGCCAAATGCATCTCCTCCTCATTTCCTCTTGTCAACCCAGCTCTCAATTGATGTGTTTAGCACATAAAAACGTGGGGTGGCCCCCACTCATGTGGGAGGTCATCCTTTTGTGTCCCGATGTGTACAATCGGTCCCGAAAGTTGTATTTTTTTCGGACTCTTTTAAATATATTTTATTTTATTGGGTCAAATAAAATATATTATGTGCTCTTACTCATTATGACATGTATAATGAATATACATTCCCCAACTTTAATTTATAAGTCTCCGAAATCCAGTTCGGGCTGTTATCTGTTAAATTACCAGTACCGGTAATTTGGGCTTCTTTTGACCAATCGGTCAACTCCGGGCCTTCCCATGGCCCAAATGAAATATCCACCACTATATATTTATTATCTAGACCAAGATGAATAAAATATATGGTCTCGGGAAAGTCGGGCGGCCCCCGCTCCCAGTGTGGGTCCCAGGTGCAATTTACTATGGGCGAAAGAATAAATAAAAATTTACAACTTCGTAAATTCATAAATCATTCCATAAGGTTTATTACATCATTTACGTAAAAGTAAATACATTTGGGGACGGTGTTACAATTAGATTCTGAGAAGACCGTGAGAGAAAGTGATGGAGCAAGTTTGATAACAAGACCAAAATGAGTTGTGCCTTTTAAATATCGTATGATGCATTTGACCGCTTGCCAGTCTGTTTCCAAAGGATTGTGCATATGTTGAGAGAGCCTATTAACAGCAAACGAAATTCCGGACGTGTAAATGCCAAATATTGCAAGAGACCTAGGGCCTGACGATATAACGAGGGTTCACTCATAGAAACAGTAAGAGAATCAGAAGGTGTAGTGACCGAGCTCATAGGGGTGGGAGAGGGCTTCGCACTAGACATATGACATGTCTCAAGAATATTAGTGATGTACTGTTTTTGAGATAAGAATAACCCAGTTGATGTGGGAATAACTTCAATTCCCAAAAAATGATGAAGAGAGCCTAAATCCTTTACCGAGAACCGAGCAGTGAGATATTTGATAAAATGATTGATGTCCGAAGTAGAATTGTGAGTAACCACAATATCATCAACATACACTAAAAAATAGAGTAGTGTGTCCCCATGGGAGTAGATGAATAATGAATTATCTGCATGTGACCTACAAAATCCGGCAGAGAGGAGAAAGTTGGACAATTCTTGGTACCACGCACGTGGTGCTTGCTTCAGACCATAGAGTGCTTTGCGGAGACGACATATATGTGTAGGGTGGGAAGTATCAACATACCCTAATAAGATCAAAGACATAGTCTGGCCCCGGCCCTGACGGGTTCAACGGGCAATTCTATCGGACCTGTTGACACATTATTGAGAATGACATGCTGACAGCTATTCAGGAATTCTTTCTGGGGTTACCTATGCCAAAGGCCCTCTCTAGCACCTGTATAGCATTGATTCCTAAAATCCCAAATCCCAAAAGCTTCACCCATTTTCGCCCTATTAGCCTATCAAATTTCATAAATAAAGTTTGCACAAAAATTTTGACTACTCGACTCAAGTCGATTCTTCCGAAGATTATCTCAAATGTGCAAATTGGGTTTATGGAAGGGGAGGATATCCACCATCACATTCTCCTTCCAAATGAAATCCTCCACCACCTTGACAAGCGGGTCAGGGGCAGGAACATTGCAATCAAGCTTGATTTAGCACAAGCGTTTGACAGGGTCTCATGGGTTCTTTTGGAGGCGACACTTTTAAAGTTAGGTTTTGACAGGAGGTTTTGCCACCTAAATTTAACCAACCTGAACTCCACACATATTTCTGTCTTGGTCAACGGACAACCCCATGTCTTCTTCAAGCCACGAAGGGGGGTCAAACAGGGGGACCCCCTTCCCCTACCTATTCCTGTTAGCAACTGAAAGTTTTACAAGAGCTTTACAAAACCAATATGATAACAACCTCATAAAGCACTATCTTATTGGTAATTATCCCAGTCCTGTCTCCCAGCTTGGATACGCGGATGATGTGATCCTCTTCCTTAATGGCTCGGCCTTCTCCATCCGAAACCTTCAGAGTTTCATCAACCTATACACAGCAGTAACCGGGCAGCTTATTAACTACAAAAAAAGCACGGTACTGGTTAGCAAAAAGATGCAACTGGCAAGGAAAAGAAGTTTGACCAAAGACACGGGAATGAAGGTCACAAACCTCCCATTGACTTATATAGGAGCTGTTCTTCACCAAGGCATAACCAGACCCACCCACTGCACCAACATCCTACAGAGCTTTGAAAACAAACTGCAGTCCTGGAAAAAGAAACATTTAAATCAATCTTGGAGACTCATACTGATAAAACACGTGCTTAATTCAATACCAACACATCAAATGGCAGTTACCAGATTCCCAAGAAAAATCATCCTAAGTCTACACAGGCTCATGAGTAATTTCTTTTGGGGATCATCAGGTGAAAAGCACAAATATCATTGGAAAAGTTGGAGTCACATATGCAGAGAAGGAAAGTAGGGGGGTCTCAACATCAGGTCATTAACACATATCCAAGATGCACTACAACTCAAAATATGGTGGAAGTATAATGAACAACAGTCAATTTGGGCAAAGTACATGTTCACCAGATACTCTAGACAAGGTACAATGACTTCTAAACCGGCAGATTCGCCAATATGGAAGCAAATTTGCAAAATGGTCCAACACAACCCACCCCTCATTCTTTCAGTCAATGACAACCCTTGGTGGTCTTTGAAAAAAATGGCCATTTTACCTTAAACAGTGCTTATCACCACTCTAGGCCACAACACCCCACCACATTCTCCTTCTCTCAAAATTGGGCAGCCCCTGTACAACTTAAAATCAAAATTTTCATTTGGAAATTTCTGACCAGCTCTCTACCCTTTCCAGACAACCTAATTCGTTTCAAACTAAACCTTGTTACCAGATGCCCCTTCTGTCTAAACCATCAAGACACACAAAACCATGCCCTTTTCAGTTGCCCACTAATAAGACCTATATGGAGATACTTTTCTTGTGTTTTGCATGTGAGGAATGCTCAACAAGAGGAACTGAAACAGGCACTATTTATTTGGTGGATGGGGAGGCAATCAAACAACACTATAAGCACACTACGTCAAGCAATGCCGGGAATAATCATGTGGCACATATGGAAGTCCTACAACTCATGCATTTGGGAAGACAAACCATTTTGCAGAAACAACATAATTTCAGGGGTCAAAAGCTACACACGTAACTGGTGCTACTCAAATATTAACAAAACATTCTACAATTTTGATGCCGAGCTACACACGGATGGTCTCATGCCATACATCAAACACACAGAAAGATACAAAGTACATATTAAGTGGAAAACAGGTTTACACCGACGCAGCCTTCAAAAATGGAATAGGGGCTGGAGGAGCCATCCTCCGAAAGTTCAATGGAGATCTGCTCCAGGCCTTTGGGGTTCCCGTTGATGGCACACAACCCGCTACAAGCAGAAATACTATCCATGGGACACCTCGATTCACATCATCAAAGAAAAAGGTCACAAAAAATCCCAGGTTCAAAACGACTCCAAAGTTTGCATTTAGATGATCGAAGGATCTATTCGAGTGCCGACTTACCTCAGGCAACCAATCGTCAGGCTTCAATTGGCGATGGTTAACTCTCAGGCCAGCTTCCTTCACCGTCCACGTCAAACGAACTTCATCGCCCATTTCCTCGCACAGTCCAGCCTCAACACCTCGTCATTCACCAACTACACGTTAGACCTTCTTCCATCCAGAGCAAAGAAAGCCTTCTACAACGACAAAAACAGTGTCGGATTCTTCAGAGATGCCGGCTGATTTAGGCTTGGGAGGAGCGACTCTAATCTCCTCTCTCAAAAAACGTTCGCAAATGAGGAGTATGGTTTTAGGGTGTGCAGACATTCGTTTTTGGACTATTGTGTTTGGCGCAGGTAATATTCCGTGGTGGTTTCCGAAATGGTCATCGTGAGGATGATGAAGGGAAGAGACGGGGAAAAAATACATGAATACAAGGCTCGTTAGAGATTTGCTCTTGATACCATGAAGAATGATATATTCACCTTAATAATTACAATTGCATAACATGGATTATATAATGTAGCTTATACCGAAGAGATAAGCACGACCATAAATATTAGCTATACATCCGGTAACTACTGGCTAAGATCTAAGTTAGTGGATTGCCTAACAAGATACATGCATACACGCCTCTACGTACTAAGATAAATAAATGTGACAACAATAATAAATGTAACAATGATAAATTATTTGCTAACACAGCGGAGGCACGTCCATTGAAGACGACGGAGAAGCCACCGATTTCACTTAAAGGCGGTGGAGAAGAAGGGGCGAAGTAGAAACGAGAAGAAACAGAAGTTGTGCGACGGCGGTGGCGGCAGGAGAGCGACGGCGGCGGCGGCAGAAGAGCGACGACAGTGGAGACAAGAGAGCGACGAGGATGGCGGCAGGAGAGGGGGAAGAGGTTTGGTCTAGGTCTTCTCCTTCAATTGATACAGATGGATTGCATTGGGCGGAGAAGATAATACGCAGATGAGTCGGTGAATCTGTTAAGTGGGTTGGGCTTGTGCGAAGACGGAGATCACATTTTTTGAAAAAGGTCAAATTTGTTATATTTGTGGAAAAGAAAAGTCTGGTAATCATACGCATGCCATTTTTTCTGTAAAAAATGTTAGAATGCACATTGTATAAAGAAGTACTCACTATTTAAATATGATGTTACAATCACATGAGATCAACCGGCTTGAGAAGCAACCCTAGAAGTACATAGACTCAAAATCGAGCACTCTTGAATAAGCGACTCAGTTTGCTAGATATGAAACGGGTGACTTAAATCCAATTTTAGCTATTTTTATATCATGTTACTCCACATTACAGGTTGGCCGAGATTCGAACTTGAGAATTACCCCTTGAGGCATTCTCTATCTACCAGTTGAGCTACGCCCGCCACTTTAAAAACCAATATTCATGTCGCTAGAAGAAGACTTAATGAAAGGAGTAGTAATAACTAATTAAGACATCACATAAAAACAATAAATCACAAGCACGCTATGATCACCTCCACTATCATCACCTCCCCACGATATGATCAAGTGCATCTCTTACTTCCTTTGCTCAGATACAACCTACCATTGCTATCTAAGGCTCCTTGAAGGAGTTCAAACATGCATGTTCCATAATGCGAGGCACGACCCCGTATTTGAAAGTGAAATCTCAATCACCATTTTGTTTCTTATTATGAGTATGTTTAACATAACTACCTGAAAAGATATTTGTATAGACGTTTTAGTAAGTGTTAGTTTTTATTGACTGAAAAGGTTTTAAAAATAAAAGGTGGTAGCTGTTTGGTAAAAATTGACTGCTTGATTTAGTTCTGTTTGGTATAAGCTGTTGGGACTTATTAATACTAAAAGTCACAAACTTTTCTAAAAAAAACTTTTTTTTAACAAACTTTTCTCAGATGCTACTCCTTGTAGCATCTCAAAAAAGATATTTTATTTTTTGAAAAGCTCTTAAAGGTTGTCACACCAAATATACAACTAGAAGCATTTAGAGACTTTTTAAATACTCCCTCCGTTCCACTATGATTGTGCCATTTTACCATTTAGGTCCGTCCCACTAAGATTGTCCCATACCTTGAGCCCGTTTGGTAGCACGAAAATCGGCTGTTTTGGCTGATTCTGATGAAATTTATGAAATTCTGGCTGAAGTGGCTGCATTGGCTGATTCTGGTGATTTATTAAAAAAATATTTTTAAAATATATTTTATTAATAAAATAAAGAAAAAAGTTATATGTAAAAATAGCTAAAATGGACATCTAGAGTAACTTCAGCCAATACAGCCAGAAAGTAACTTCAACCTTACTTTTTTCTGCTTATTACACAATTCAACGCATGAAAGTAAAATTTACGTGTTTGGGGAAAAAGTTGGTTGATAAGCCGAAAAACAGTGTTGTCAAACGGCCTCCTTATTTGGCAAAGTTTGTGTGGTTCTAAATCATTCATACTTTATTCTTACTTTATCCATTCAATATTAACCACATAAACCCACTTTTATTAATAACCGTGTCACCTTTTATTGTCCCAAATTTAGGGGGACGGAGGTAAGGATGTTTTCTTTTGGACTGTTTTCAGTCCCAGACCAGACCAGACCAGACTTAAACAGACCAGACCAGACCAGACCAGACTTAAACAGACCAGACCAGACCAGACCAGACTTCCGTAGTTATAAAATACACAGAGACCAGACGTTTACCAGACCAGACCAGACGAGTTCAGACCAGACCAGACCAGACCAGACTTAAACAGACCAGACCAGACCAGACCAGACTTAAACAGACCAGACCAGACCAGACCAGCAAATTTCAGTCCAAAAGAAAACATCCTAATAATACAAAAGCTAGAAGACAATGACTTATGCCTTCCAAACATAACCTATACATATGTAGTACTTGCTCAGTTGCTTGGTGTGTGGAACATGATATATTAGATTACTTTTGTCCTGACCAAAACCTGGATTGTTCTAGACCGATTAGATCGAAATACTACGTATATGTTAGGACTTAATCTCAATCAACAATTTTTACATGTTTATACAAGAAACGTTAATGTTTAAAAAGGAGGAATAACTAGAAAAGTGACTTCCGTAATTTTTTTAAATTAAGAGCCCATTTGGTAACGTTGAAATCGATTAAATCGACTGATTCTGTTGAAAATTTGAAGTTATAATTGAAGTGACTGTATTGATTGATTCTACTGATTTATGAAAAATTATATTTAAAATATATGTTATTGATAAAATAAAGAAAAAATGATATGAAAAATAGTTAGAATGATCATTTACGGCAACTTCACCCTATACCGTCGAAAAAATAACTGCAATCTTAATTTTTCTCATTACTATTACGCAATTATTATGCGTGCGAAATCAAACTTACATGTTTACTTAAAAAATTTGTTGATAAACCCAAAAATATAGTCACACGGCTCTACAATATGCATTTGGTGCCCAAAATGGGTTCGATCCGATCATATCCGAAATACGGAGTAGTCCGGAGCTATCAAATTCGAATTTCGATCGTGTCCGGTATTGACCATTGTGCTGACCTCACGTGTGACTCCCACGATCCCTCACCCTAACCCGAGTCCAAAATAACCCATCAGAACTTTTCAAGTAGAGAGGGCCCGAGTTTTCAAAAGCTGTGGGCATCAAATCCTGACCGTCCATTGAATGACACATGGGGCTATGATTGCGCCGCAGAGTCGTTAAATTACCGATAAGTCCTTGGAAATCAGGAATAAATTACAACGGACTTGCAAGGAAAAATCACCGGCTTTCCAGGCTCCATAAACCTCTCCAAAACTCTCTCTCTCTCTCTCTCTCTCCAGGTCAAATTATTCCGGTGACCTTTGCTCATCGGTATGTTTCAAGTTTCCGGTGCTCGTTATTTTGCGTTTTCTGCCATTTTTTGATTTGCTCGTTATGTTGATGGGAGGGGGGAGAGGCTTTGAACTTTTTTCGACGTTCCTTTATCCGCGAATTTTCCAAATTTTGAGAGGAAAATTTGCGTGCTCAGGTTCCTAATATTGTTTGAAAATGGAATGGAGAGCTCTTTGATTACTATTTTCAATAATTTGTTTTTGCATTGCGCTGATTCGTTTGCTTCGGAAACGGCAATCGAGGAATTGAATGTAGCATTTTTTCGTCATTTTGCGCTTTTTTGGGAGCATTAAGTTTTTCCTCGAGTTATTAATAATTGTTTTTCCAAAAAAAGATTTCTCTCTTTTTTGTTTCCGTTTTTTTCCGGTTTAGTGTGAATGCGGTGAAATATTCGAAACGTAAAGTTTATTGAGATGGATACCAATGCTATTGCATTTACTCTTCCAAAACAGTGTGATTTCATCTTGTATTTACGTTTTTTAATGTGAATTGATACCCAAATCACTAATTATTCCACAATTGGTGTTGTGAATACTGCCCTTTCGTAATTTGCAAGGTTAAGATGGTTTTGATGATATATTGTAGCGAAAAGGCCTAGACATTAGGCGGCCATCCAGACAGCTTCTCTGCTTGCTCCATCACATTCCATTAGATGGGCTGTTTTCAGTCTACAGCAACAAAGCAGTTTCCTGGACATGAAAATCCTGTAGTTCTTGCTTCTCAAACAGCTTGTAAGCCATTTTTTTTATCTATTTGATTTCTCATTTTCCTTTTGCTATCATTCACTGATTAGCTAAATAAACTGGCGTCATTGCTGATTTCAGATTTGTGGGACTTTAAAAGTCAATGGTTCAAGTCACATTAATTTAGTGTCTATTCTACGTTTGATACCCTCTATTCTCTAAAATAGTCTTGCTTTATCGCTTCTTTTGGATATTAGTCAGATCTTTTAGTGCTTGGGTTGAAGAATTGGGTAAGTTTTGCTTTTGAATTCCTAACAACCAAGCAGTCTTTATGGGGTGTACCTTTGGAGATGTGGATCAAGAAATTGGAGGCATTGGTGAAGTTTGCTGCATGTATCATCTAAGAATTTCCCAATAAAATATCACAATGTTGTTGCATGCTTTGTGCTGCAATTCTGCGTGATGTTCATGGGCTAGGTAGTCACCAAGATGGGTGGTGTTTGCCTGTTGGGGGAGTCTGCATTGCCCAGTCTCGGATTGGGCGAGTCTAGAGGGACAAGCACACCCCAGCAAACACGAAAGATGCTTTCCATTTACTGGGGGCCTCTAGGGTGCTTATCTCTTTCTCCCCAACCTTTTCTAAGTAACAATGTCCATCTTCCAACTTTGGTCTTTAAAGTGATTAAAGTTTCACTCTTCTAATGTCTAGTTTTGTGTTCCATTGGAAGATTAAAGTAATCATAAATGAACAACACATCTCTTTTGTTTTGTCTAGATTTAGAGATGAATATGTAGCACCTATCGTTATTTTTAAGCTCCAGGCTTAACCAGAGACTGTGTCTAATATTCACCGATCTATAGATCCAATACAATGTTCACAAAAAGTCTTTGTTGTTGCTCCACAACTG